TCACTTAGATATATACATTGATAAAATTTTATACAGGGTGGGGCATTTAAAACAGACCACCTGAATAACTTGGCACCTATTGGTGACAGGAAAAGATGCATACAGCCAAAATTATTTGGTATCGAGGGGCTGATCATCTGGTGTTATTAGTTTTTTGATAAGTGAAGGCGTCAAGGAGATATGAAGGTCATCCCTATTTTTCTAAATGGAACAGTATGTCTTTAACTTACATCCTGATAGACTAAACACCAGATGATCAGCCCCTCAATACCAAATAATTTTGTCCGTATGCATTTTCTCCTGTCACTAATAGGAGCCAAGATATTCAGGTGGCTTGTTTTAAGTGCTCCACCTTATATACTTATTTTATTTTAGATACCAACGACAGGGTAATGCGATTTATCCAATTATTAGACTAAGCGATGGTGATCCGTTTCCTGTAAATTTTTTAAGAATTACTACTACATATAATAATAGGAAGATATAAAAAACGTACTGAGCGCGGATCCGCGAGTTGTTATCCTTTTGTTTCGAGACGCCGCATTGCAATTGTCGTTGTTGCCTGGCTGCCTCCAAAGAAGTAAGGAACCATCCAGAGAGGGACCGGATATCTGCTTAAAAGTGCGCATAACCGGAGGTTGCATATTCAAAATGCGGAATGTTAAAATTAGTAGTTGAAGATGAACTATGTTCACTAGGCCAGTGAAATAAAAATTACCAATAATGAAAAAATAAAAAGCTGATAATAATAAAATAATGCTACATTATTTTTTATAAATATTTATTCCCCGAGTTTTGTATAATGAACGAATCCTCACATAAAATAGCAATATATTTGCATTATTATTTTATCTCTATTTCCGGTTTAGATGCACTTTTTCGCAACCAATCAAAAATTATCACATAGGTGTCCAGTCCCTCCCTGGAGGGTCCCTATCAAGAAGAGGCGTCACTGCGTAGTTTGGCTAGTCGCGAATCGTTAGCGGGAATTGAAATTATTACATTTACCTTTGTCGCTTAATATTCATTTTTAATTAAACGGGAAGTCGACTAAAAGCTCGTCCTCTGTGATTTTTAATGCACGTTCGAACTACTGACCCTATTCCCACGTTTTATAAAGACAGGAAACATATTCAACGTCTACAATAATTAGAATTGTAGTCACTCGTTAGATATAGCAACCGGTTGGACTGGCTAGAAGTTTGTATGGAAGCATATGCATGTATGTATAGGTTATGTCGACACGGACCGTTGAGGAATAGCCGGAAAATTTCTAAGTCTAAACAAGTCCCGTCGGAGTCAGAGTCGGAGTTATTTAGTCAGTCATAGTTTTTGTAAGAGCGGATACACATTTCTTTAGTACACATATATGTATTTAACGTTTCTAATGAAAACACTACAGATTTCTACAGAATTATAAGCTGTAACGACCACGAAAATTAATTAACAGCAAATATAAGAAAACGATCTGTCATAAAACTGCGACACTGTAACAGGCTCTTCTAGTAGTAAGATAAGATAAATATTAGACGCGCAATTATTCGTTTACACGCGAGTCTCCGATCTCGCCAATTCGATATTTCACCTGAGCAATCTGAGTTTCCGGGCCACCAAACGACCTGCACACGGAACCTCAATCTAGCTCCTACTATCCGGGTTTTAAAAGGTGCTAAACACCTCCGCAAAATTTAATAAAAGCCAGTCTTCAGCCTAACTTGGTGCAAGAATCACCCGGCTTTACTCATACTCGTTTAGTTCATAAGTGACTTAAACCCGCCTTCTACCGTCACACGTGCGTCAGCGGAAATCTTTTCTGACAAAGATAAGCGTATGAATAATTATCAAATAGTTCTACGACAAGAGTTTCGCGGTATCGCCTGTTTCAAAAATAAATCTCGACATCTTATCGATTGCTCTCTTTTCGATAGCATCTCCCAGCAGGTTCCCTTAGTCCTTTTAACTTACCCTCATTTTTAAGAATGTACTGTTCCCTTGTTCTCTTTCGACAAGTGTTCCGCGTTCCTTTTCCGAAATTGCTTCGCCATTACGATTCTTCCAGTATCCAGGAGCCTCTCGATTTTCCTGGTATTTCTTGAATCGGCGATTCATGGTCGCGGATGTGCGAAGAGCACCGGGTGGTTCCGTACATTGGCAAATTTGTCCACGCCATTGTTGTGTCTCCGACGCTCTCGATGCTATCCACCTCACCATTTAAAAATCGTTTAGCTCCTAATAGGCCATGGCTGGCAAACGATACCAGCGTTCAGGTGACTAACGACAAGTATCGATATGGCACACGGTTGTATGGTGTTCACTGTCCACGACACGAGGTTTCACTGAGCGTTCTCAAAGAAGAACCATGGTGACGTGACGGTCTCGTAAGAATATACCGCGAATAGTGACGCCGACAGGAGGAAACAGAAAGGGTGTATAAATCGAAATGGTATTTATACAAGCATATATAAGTATCTTTTTATTCTACTTCCGCTGATACATGTATGTCTTGTTAGAACTTGGCTATGCATTTTCAATGAACTACTCGTTTCAGTGGTTACTGTCTGATTTCATAAATCGGAGAATTTATATAGTTACCACCTGGTCCGTAATTGCAGACCAAGTACAAACTCGTCCATTGGGAACCTGGCGCCTTGTATGTGATCTTCCCGCAACCGAGTCTATACGAATTCGCCCATACCAATTGAGTATAGTGACCCACCTTCTCGAAGTTCTGTCCTCTGATTAAAAAACGAGGATATAAGGAAATTCGAACATCGGCAGTGAGGTACGTAAAATGTAGCAGTGGTTACGTACGTAAATCGAGAAACTTGGTTCCTGTCGAAGTCCTTCACTTCGTTGTACCACGATTGAACGAGGTCTTCGGGTTTGCTGCCAGCTCCACCGGTCCAACCCGCCCAGGCAACATTTTGTCCAACGTATCCGTCAGATGCTAAACATAACAATATCGTTCGCTTATGATATCAACCCGTTACCGTTTTCCGAAGTTTAAAACGCGAAACCCGCGTTCGCCCAACGGTATCGATTACAAAAATTTGTACCATCGTTTCTGCATTGATCGTGACCAAAGTGACATTGATTGCTCCACCTTTGAGCCACCTCGGCCAAACCTTCGTCCCAGATCTTAAAATACAAATTTCTTATAAAAAGAATGTTCAACGCAACGAATATGTTGGGTCGATCCGAACGCATTTCTAGTAAGAAGATTGGACATTTTTCAATGGATTCCTGTAAACTGTACCATGGTTTTCATGTTCAGAGCGGGGGGTTGAGGTCCAGGATTGCCTTGCTTCTCCATTCCAGCGGCAACGTACGCTCTTAGATCGTTATGCTTTTTAACTATTGCATTCTTCTCTGCGTCCGTAAATCCCACGGACATCACCGAGCCGCAAGCTGGTGCCGGATTTGGATTCTGCAATAACGAACGAAAAAACGCGCGAAAGTTACAAATATATAGTGTAACAAGGCGTTGAAATGACATTCTGTACTAACTGGATATTTGCACAAGGTGTGGCTAGATTTGCATGAGTAACGGTTGCAGTCGATGGCTTTGCTCGTGGTTGCGAGCAAGAGGACAATAGCGAAGCACAGAAATATCTTCATGATCGTAGTTTTCTTCTCACCGCTGCGTTAACTGCGATAGTCCTGTCACTGAGTATACACTGAACGCGTATACCTGTATTTATTAACCTCCTTATCAGCTAACGCATATCACGCTCGGCCCGGTTTTTCCTCGTTCCATTACAGTGGTATTTCAATCTATCTTCCATCCTAATAATAAACCATTCTCCATTTCCATTTTAATTGCATGCTTGTTATCATCGTTGCCACTTACTTTAAATGAAGAAAAATATTACTTGAAGATTCGAAATTAAAAACCGAAGTACGACACCTGGGGTACATCTGGGTTCTACGTCAGTTGGATCTTATCAATCAATGTTTATTCCGCTTTATATCTGATACGCCGTGTACTTATCAGTTTGGGTCCCAAGGGGTATTGAAAAAACATTGTCGAAAAATCCCGAACAGCGCGACCGCGCTTTCTCTAAATGAGTATTGGGATTTTTCGACACAAAATCTGAAAAGCGCGATAGCGCTGCTTGGGACTCAAACGGTTAATAATGAAAAATATTATTTTCTCTTACGACGAGTGTGACAATTTTTAATCGCAGTGACGTAAAGTGATTCATTGCGATCTGATAAAACGATTCATTTTAGCTTAATTGAAGAGGATATTCATAGTTCCCGTTGTTAAGTTTGTCGCTATTTTTACAGTTTGCGTATTTCAAGTTCTAAGTATAAGGAAACTTCCAGAGTATGATTTATGTATCGGAGATATCACTTTTAATGGATCGTTTATTATCATTTTGTCGACAACGTCGTATAGCTATTTCATTTTCGAATGATTAACTGCATGTGTGACAAATGTGGTGCGTCGTTCACTTATTTTTCTTCTTCGTCTTTGTTTTCCGGGCACCGTGGACATGTCGGTCGTGTCGACGGGCCTCGCCATCCTCTTGTACTCAATCTCCGAACTTCTCTTCTCTTCTCTCCTCTTCGTAAGACTCGCAAGGATCCACGGGACAGCACGTCGAAGGGACTTGCTCGATCACTGGCAAAGGAGTGATTTCGGGACTTGTTTCCTGCAGCAAAGACTCGTGATACGATTCCGACCCCGAGGCTTTCCACGAGACTTTCCGGAAGCAAGGCTGGCATGACTCGTCTGACGATAGTGGAGAGCCACACTTATGTGTGGCTATTGTTATCTATGTGTTCTATTTTGGTCAAAATAGTGATTGCGAGAAGGATTTTTGGCAACTCGAAAATTTTTTTCATCACTTCAGTCATTTCGTATGTTATCTACACGGTCATAACACGGGGATAAGGTCTAACTACACAGACGTGACGGCACCGTACCGCAGTGGAAACGTAATGGGAACATAGATCTCCGTAGGTCGAAGGACGTAATTTTCAGTGCTGTAGTCTTTAGGACAGTAGTAGGACGTAGATAGTGGAGCCTAAACAGCAGGCAGTCCCCGCC